TACGATTCTTCTAGGAATGAAAGAAACCACGGTCCACTCCGCTATAAGACAGCAGCAGCTGTGGCGATCCCCGTGTGGGTCTGCTTTGTAGCCCACTTGCTACTTACTTGAAATCTTCGTTTAAGTCTAAGCCTAAAAAATTACCGTTAACATTAATGAAGTCTACGATTGAGAGAATAAATTCCCCCATAATTTTCAAAATTCTTGAATAAGTTATATCTGTTCAATACCGAAACGTAATCAAAGTCCTTAGGAGTAGGTAGACCATGAATAGCTCCTGAGCATTACACAGTCGTCTCGTATGTTATAAGACACTTCAAGCAAATTCACACTATGTTAATATAGGCTTGAGTAACGTATTTGCCTACTTTTGTCGGTTGAGTTCGAACCCGACCACAGGCAGACTTTATTTTATGCGGGGAGCCAGCGGATGACAGCGATGCCGGACGTAAAACTCGGAACAAAGCCTTGCCCTGATAAAGTGAACATAATAGTATATAATACATTTCTCCGAATCTTCTGAAAACTCGTGACTGCAGTCGAGCGTATTCAGGCGTCATCATTTTTGAGTTTTCGCGTTGTCTTACTTGAGACCAGGAGTTACACAGGATAAATAACGGTTTGACGTCTCATTTTTGCTGGCCAATTCCAGCTTACGTCTTCCAGCACTTTCTAACAAACTGTTCTACTCGTCTCCTCCATCGTCCTGTAGATCTGTTGTAGCCATCTGTTTTATTTCTTTTACCGCGTCACCCAAATGTTCAGTGGCAGCAGAATAAGTTTTCTCTTTCGAGTGCAACGTCGCGGCTAAATGCGAATGGGGAGGCATGTTTCCTGCGATTGCGGCGCTGTCGGCGATACGAGGCAAAAGTCACTGAGCTTTTCTTTGCGTCACGCCCCTGCGGATGACGTCGAGAAAGAGGGACCCCATCTTCCCCCCTGCATGTACCTTGAGGGGATCGATGGCCAGTCACCCGAAGTCTTGATGTGGCTAGTACACTCTGTACTTACTTTCCTTCTGGCGTCGTTCACTGCCAGTGAGTCTGTTGGTGTCGGTAATGGCGCTGGCGACCGGAAGTGCTTATGGCCGCTTATGGCACTGCCACCGAAGTATCTTTGCCGCCTCCAGGGGCATCTATAGCAGGCTACGCCGCTGGGCAACGCGTAGCAATGATAGCGACTCCGTGTAAGGGGTGAGGAGCTTTGGCAAACGGAAGGAGGTGCAACCATGGTACTGCCGTCATGTTTATGAGCTCCGCGAGCCACTGCTACTGCAGCTGAATCTAGCGCTGCCACAAGGGCTTCGTAGATTAGGTTGGGCTTGCACTCGTGTAAAATATTTGCATAAAAGCAGTCCGGTGGCCGTTAGGTACTATGAGATCGTTGCTAGATCACTTTAGAGAGATACATACACACACCGGTCTGATGGTAACTTTATGGCAACACAGTAATTAACCTTTCTTACGACATTCGCACCTGTCAAATCTAAGAAAGGCATCTTTCCTCTTGAGACCCTTGCAATAACAATTGCCACGTTTCCCATGTAAAGTTGTTGATCGGCTCGTTTAGATGTGAAAATTTTTGGACTTTTAATGGGTGCTTTGAGACGCTTATGGACTGCCGTTGTGAATAGGACCTACTGGACCATGAGGTTTCAGGCTTGATTAGCTAGCTGAAGCTAAACGCTGTTTAACATTTGATTCCAATTACATGTCATTAGAGTACAGGATGTAGGTGTACTAGCTGAAATCCGAAATCTTACACCATTGCAACCACTATTCTTGCGAGTACATTGATGAAACCAGCAAATCTCTACTATGGTCCAAAGTGTATAGTGTTGCATTGCCTACAAGTAACCCATTCGAAAATGGGGTTCGTCAGAAAGATTATAATATTATATATATAACAGTAAGAAGCTTCAATCTTTAGGAATAATTTTCAATATTTTCTTATTATAAATTAAAAGATCAATCATTTCAATGTGCATATGTTCGCTCCTTAGAAATGTGTTGGGTTCACATGGTCTATGAATAAATTCGAAACTTGCAACGCATTTATATATACTAATTTTTATACGGTTTCGAAACATTTAATTAACATAACATTTATAATGGAGCACTGGCTGATACGTACAAATTAGAAATTATAGGGCGTAGCGGGCAAGAAAGTTTGATTCCACGACTGTTAAAGTTCAGCATGACAAGCACCCGTTTAACAATGCCCGCCGCCTAATTACCGATACTTTGCAGAATTAGCGGATTTTTTATGTACGTAACTTTGTTTTTTGGAACCTGATATACCTTCATAAAACACGTTTTTGAAATCAAAAAGGCCGCTGCAAGCTTCCCTCACTCTTAAACCTGGGCTACGTTTCTTCGCATATATATACATATATATATATATATATATATATATATATATATATATATATATATATATATGGCAAATTCTAAGCTAGCTATGAAGAAACGTTTCTAGAGCTGTGCATATGATGTACCATAAAAGCCAATCTGTATGGATAAGGGTCATATTGGTGGTTACGGGCTGGTCTATGGCGGCCATTGAAAAGGCAATTCAAACTTCCGTTGCGCAGGGTACTTTCAAGGCTCGTGGTTGTGCCCCGGAGGCACACAACTCAATCCATTGAGAAACGCCTGAAGAAGAACAACCAAGCAGTAGCTTTAAGTACGAGGAAGGATGCTCACCTCTGCCTTTAGGTTAAGGGTCTGGCCGAGCTCCCAATACATGACGACGAGGGCGCGCTACTTTGAAGCGGGCTCCAGTTTGCCGGACGCCCGACTTAAGGCCGCGAGCTCTCCTTGAGAGTGAATGGCTCACTTAAGTGCTCATATGAGCTCGGTATGAACGTCTTCTTCTCATATATTATGTATGGTCAATGGGAACACCGGTTTAGAGCGGGTTCGTGAGGCCATAAAAGCATGTTTAACTTCCTCAAGCGGCCTGGCGCCTACACTAGCAGCGTCGCTTGGAGAAGGGTTTCCGAGTTGTGGGACCTCACCGCGAGCTAGCTCGGACACCCACTGACACTTTTATTATACCTTGAATGCAACTGCTCCTCCTTTCTACTGGCCAGTTTAGCTGCCGTATGCCGTCGTCCAACGCTCGGCAACATTGACCTAATTCAATCAATAAGATCTTCTGATCTTCTGACGGTTGCGCAGTTCCCCGTTGCCTGAACCCAGGGCGGCGCAAAGAAGCACCATAGAGAAGCCGATGGATAGCTTGAGGTAACGATAACCTGTGCGTACGATAATGATTTTATGGGCGGACGAACAAACTCGGCTAAAACCTGATATCTGAGTAGGTGTTAGCACAATGTCCTTTGACGTGTAGGGGTTCGTGTGTTTCGGCGCCTAAATAAAAACATTGAAATCATCAAATAAGTTAACTGTAAAATATCCGTCAACGGTGCATTTGAAAAAAAAGTTTGAAAGATCATTTGTCGAGAAATTTCTCGAGAACGCTTTGCGACATCATCAGCATGACGTACTTCTGGCCAAATGCTCGGATTAACTCATGGATAGCTCAAGTCAAACATAAACTTGATAGTCGTATCCAAAACATGTTTAACCGATAGAGAGCCTTACAATGTTACACAAATGGAATTGGTGAAATACACAAGCAGTTTTGTATGCTTGATATGGCTCGTATTGTGCCGAAACGAGTTACTGTCAACTTACTACGATCGAATAATAAGTGACCCATTTGTCCGGACTGGACAATAATAAGCTGTTTTTATTGAATGCAGAAGTTATCAGTAACTGGCGTCAATTGGAAAACTATCGCCTCCTAATGATATTACCCTTAGCTTTTCTTTAAAAAAACATCCATCTGTACCGCCTATTGAAATACTATCTTTAAAGCTGGTATTCCTCCTATGCTAATATAAAACTGCAAATAATAAATATAGAGCTAATGAAGTTTTCTTCATTCTCCCTCCGGCCCCCCGCGTTACCTAACCTAGCGAAGAATTAAGCAAACGATACACCTGCATCGAAAAAACCCGTTTAAGCAAACTGACAATATTTACTTCGATATCGTCGGAACTCATATTGTTCACTTACTGCCAGCCGCCTGAATCTTCTTTCTAGTCGAAAACTTAATAATTGAAAAAATTGAGTAGTACAATTAATGGGTACGGGTTTGTACTATCGACTTCCTTTCGGGGTGCTACGAGTCATTTCAATTTCGAATAAACGTACTTCTACTATGTATCTACTCGTACTTTCAAGGACGGATGATGCTACATACCGCTGCATCCGCTTTTAGGGACAGTTACAGGCTGTGACTGTACTCCCTCTTAAGCACCTACATTTCATTTTCTTCGCTGTTATCTTATAACTCTATACATTGACTAGCTTGTTTTTAAGGATTAGGACTGAAATCGGGCTTTCAAAGTCTATGAAAATAAACCGATGTCGGAGCCATTTTCAGAGATGACATTCAGGCTCCGAGGACCTTTTATCTTCACGGCTTTTTCGATCATTATGATAAGAAGATCAAATATGCGCACGATGGTGTGTATTGAGCTTGCGCAGACTTGGCACAACCTTGTTTAGCGACTACATAATTTGAATAGATACTATTTATGAAAAGATTGCTCTCATAAATGGGTCGAGTCGGCATTAATTGACAAGTTATTGATTACCTTAGAACTTCCCTTCTAATTGCATATTGAAATCGCTGGGTCATTGTAGCCCACGACGGATACTAAGGTTCGTATAAGATGCAGACTGCGTAGAGCTAATAGTCTTAGATATATGGACGGATCTTGCTACTTCTAAACGCTTTAAAAATTCGTCCGAGGATCAATTAAACTTGAGGCTTAGTTACATATCAAAACCCGTCATACTGTTATATTGAGAATTCTATACTCTAGGTAATAGTTTTGTTGGATAACGCAGATGTTTGTCATCTAGATGCTCATTTTTCATGCTTCATTGTAGTGAAATCAGTTGCTGAATGCATTGCCCTCATACCTGAGGTAATCCCGCTTACAGAGAATTAGATTGGCCTTCGTGTAGAGCGTGGAGCCCACTTCCCCCAGACGGCAGTCGCAGCAAGCGCATTTTAAACAGTCTTCATGCCAAAGTTGCTCCAGTGCACGCAGAAGATATCTACGTTCGGAAAGTAAGGGAACAAAGACGATAATTATTTATATGAAACTTATATATATATATATATATATAAAATGTAGTTATGGTAATTATACACATTATCTTATTTTAATATTACGACTATACTGAGTGCTTCTGCTGCATGAAGTAGCTGCTGAGGTTTAGCCGACGTCGATATAAAATAACCAATAAACATTTGCGTAAACTATTAGGTGTAACCTTAGCGAAATTTAGCAATACCCTGTAGTAATCGTTGCTAGCTATTTTACCCATATACAAACCTTTCTCGGATGGGCTTTTGACAGCCGGCGCATTCAGGGGCTCCACCGTGTGGGTGTTGTTGGCCGTTGCTTACGTTATTGCTATTTAGAGCTGAAGACATCGTTGTTCCGTCCGCGGTGCCGTGATGCACTGACGAACCGCTTCCAACGCCTACCATACTGTTCGCGCTGGCTGATCCCATCGTGGAAGCGCCAACGGAATTCTGCGACCTACGACCTGACTTCATTTTTCGGTTACTCGCTCCTGCACCACCTCCACAACCTGAAAAACAACATTAGGTATGTATCATTCATATATTAGGTTGAAAAGTCAATACATTGTGCTTTGAAGTGCAAACTAGCTCAACGAGGCAAATGCAAGTAATAGCTTAATGTGTGAACGTATTGCGTAAATCCGTGTCTAGATCCCTTGACTCAAATCGTCAAAAGGCAAATGCCATACGAGTCACACATCGTCTTACAACTATTATATAGAACATGTTCTAAACATCGTTATTATTTCTTTACCCTTGGCATTTATCCTTGGTAAACTCTCATAGATGAAAATATCAGTGCTGATATTCCGGCGCGCCGCCATGGCCCTTATCGTATACCACGATTTAACAGCTGTTCTTCACAATCGTGATGCGATGTAGCATTACCACCAATAGAATAATGGCACAATAAATAGTGCTTTAATCGCGCTAATGATCATTAGGAGACGCAGCAGTATCATCTTCATTCTGCGGTATCATCAGCATACTGTGGCGTCTACTCGATGCCGGACAATACCAACGTGGCAAAACATGCCAACGGAAGAGTGGAAAGACCATACCAGGGCAAGTTGCGGGATGGAAGCGAACGCAGATGGCTCTCTCTTGCGTGGTAACGCGTCGACGACGAGGCGTTTGCTATAATTCACATGGCAAAAGGGATTGCTAAATTCTTGCTGATATTATTGTGTGCGTCCATCTTAATAATGCGCAAAGCAGTCCTCTTCTCACAGCTTATAAAAAACCGCAATCTCGAGCTGCAGCTGCCCCCATTTGATCGGACGCGTCCTGCTGTTGGTATAGCACAGACCACCACAGTTTGCCCCCTCATCGGGCCTTAAAAGAAACCGAGAGAAGAAGAGGGACCATCCTCCTGTCCAGACGCAAAGCATGGGGGACGACTAGTAGCATCATGCCACTCCGAAATAACGAAAAAACAGACTAATCAGTGTTGCCTGTGCTTAATGCAGCAGAGGCAAGAACGGTGGGCGTGATCTTATAGAAACAAGCTATCGAAAACCATGCTAAGCATTGCAATGGCCATTACGCTGATGCAAAGAACGATCCTGCTAAGTATGATACACGCTTTCCAATTAATCGAATAGTCGCTACAGACAAACAGACAGGCAGGCAGGCAGGCAGGCAGACAGACATACTGGTAGTGTAGCAGGAAAGAAGCTTTTCTGAAATGTTCAGACTTAACGGTTTCGCCTGCGCTGCCATATTCGAAAGTGCTGGTGTTTAAATATACACATATATATATATATGTATGTATGATATTTGAGTATTGTTATATGAGCTGTGGTAAGGGCAGATTATTAAGTAGAATTATCCATATTCAGTTTCGAGAAGGAAAAAAGGGGCATAAATTATGAGAAAAAAACACCAACCCGTTCTCTAGTATGTAGCCACCAATCTTGTTTCAGTTTGCTGTGGTACTCTAGAATATAAGAGTAATTAGCCATATATTCGGTAATGCATCTCGGGACGGCATCGTATCTGCATTGTTATTATGTATTCTTTGTCATGCTTCATTCAACTATAGATATCATTGGTATGCAAAACCCGATAGATGGACCGTTCGATACTTTGATGAAGAATCGAACTTCAAAATACTACAGGTAAAATGTCGTGCTTAATTAGCACTTCAACAATAATGTCGTTTTTTCAGATTACCTTCTTTATGAATGCACTCCCTCTCTGTTCCGTACTTCTCAATGGCCTGCAGAATAGCGTCGTGAGCAACAACGAGCAAATGGAGTGCTCTGTGTATATGAGGGTATCTGTTTATCTTTAATGGCAACGGCTTTGGCCGATCTTTCCTTCCAGTTGCTTGCGGGTGGGTCGATTGCTTGGCTTACAGAACACTCATTTGCTACGTCCCGCTGCGGTGCTATGAAGTCGTGTGTATCTGTCCATCCCTGTGCGCGCGAGCTTGTGTGGGTGTAAGAGCGCGCGTGTTTCAGCCTGTCTCAATCCGTATAAGCACACTCTTCGGTCTCTCTCAACACCAAAGTAGGGCAGCTGCCTTATTTTGCCAGGCAGCTTCCTCTATCCCCCACCGCCCCTAAAACGCATCTCGAATAAATGGCCGTTCGGATCAGATTAGCTTGCCATTCGATCTTGGCAGACACCGTATGAACGCGATAGGGTGGATTGCCCTGAAGGTGTCTTATACCGACAGACCCTGGGAAAGGCTTCCGTGCGAGTAGATTCGGGTGATGCAGCGAACGATGCCTGCCAGAGAGTACGAGAAGGCTTACTTACTCCTTAACCCACTCTTCTCGTAGGTCATTTTGCTGAGGGATCGACGGCGGGTCCTAGCTGATTCCTGGTCCTCCGGCTGTCTGACTGCTTGGCTAGCTAATGCAGCAGATCTCACTCAGCCTAATAGTCTTCCTTCGACCATTCCCTCCTTTTCCCCCATATCTTCTGCCAGTGGCTAACTCCAGTCTCGCCCCTAATTCTTAATGCCAATATGCCCCCCTCCCGATGTCATGGAGCTGGCATAGTGTAATATGCGAGGCAAGCCAAGGTGAGCTGAAGGGGCTGAAACTACGAACTTTCGACGACCAGCACATACTGTTCCTACTGGTACACTGGACGCGGTAACACTCCAGAGGTGCCACATAGGCTCACGACCGCATAACCGCACAACTACTGCAAGTAAGCTTAATTTCACGAGCTCACCAGTTCTCGCACTCTCTTACTCACTTCGTTTACTCTGAGAAATCCATCCATGACTGTAGAATATGGAAGAAAAACGTATTAGGAACAACCTCAAGGCAGCAGGCAAACGAGCGCTCCACAAATGGCAGCGAGGGCTGCCACTCCCGTTGCCGTTGGGGTTAATGTTGCTTGAGCTCTTGCGGGTCTGCCAAGGATCTGAAGGGCGATGAAGAAGATATCGAACGAACGAGATAGCGCTCTATGGAGGAGATAAACCCTCGTGCCCGTTTGAGGAGTTCAAGCGGAGGAGTTTGCGCGCTCTATGCAATTCGATGATGAGCCTTATGCAGCAATGAGATAGTCGCGTAATGGTGGTCGAATGGCCGCAAGAGAATAACATTGTATAGCTTCGTTGGTGTGGAGTAGCGATAGCTGTCCGTGGTAGATCATATTTAGATTATATGGCAAGTCTAGCCCGCGACTGTGTTAAGGGAGACTCGCTTCCATTCGGTTTTGGGTAACGCATAGAGGGAAAAAGACTACGTTATTCGGTGAAAAAGATGAAGAAGCAGAACGAGAAGATTAGTTCTTTAACACACTTCAGGTCGACGTACGGCGCGACGGTGAGGCTTGCGTGGGGAAAAAAACAGCGACGCGACTCTTCCGCATTGGGACATTGGGGCTGTGTCAGGGTTGGATATTGAAGAAGATCTAGGGGAGGTGCTTGTGGTTATATAAGATAAGAGTTCATCCATGAAGGAGACATGAAAGTGTGAACGGTCATGGGAATAATGATGCTTCTTCAATGAGTTTAACTATATGGGCAAACGGAGCATATTTCTAACGAAAACGTCTAGCAATTTATGTATATAGTTGCATGTATTCTTGACTAATTGCAATTAAACATCTATGTATTGTAAGGTATGTAGTTATAAAGCTTACACGTATCTATTAGATTTGCGGAACATACCGGAACCAGAAAAGTTTCATTTTGATAGTCCTAAGCTAAAACGATTATAACCTTTATAGTTTATATTCAGTTAGTTATCACTAGTTTCTTTGCTCACTATTCATTTTGTGCACGGTTAGACACGCTTACAGATATCGCAAATGCACCAAACGATGGTCAACGAGAGATCCAGGAAGAAACAGGAAGTAGCCTCCCACGCTTACGGTGCCAATTTGTTCCTGTTCGTGACGGCGCGTCGCTCCCGGGCGCTACGCCAGCTCCCAATAATGGTGCGCAACTACTATTATTACGACGACTACAACTGCCACTACAGTTCACGCCAAGCGCCGTGTCCACGGCCGGTCTTGTTCTGCGTTGGGGTGTAGGCCAAAGTAGGATGTCAAACTACGACTAAGAAGAGCCGTTCATTTTGCTGCAACCAGCAACGGGCCGCGCCGGACCGTTTCAAACCAACTATACGGGCCACCCGTTCTATGACACTGCGGCGACTCCACAGCAACTCTGCAATGGCTACAACCATTGCGGCCTCTACTGGTACTCCTGATGATACTTCTGCTGATGCCGCCGGTCCCCCATTTGCTACTGCTGATAATCGCCGACAACAACAAGCAGAAATAGACCGGAAACCATGGTGTTCAAACAGTGGCCACAGGCGGTTGGTGGGAGTGGGGTTGACTGGCTGGGGAAGTCGCTGCAGGGAAAACCACCCAGTCAGGCGGTCGTCTCCCAATTCTTCTCTGTGTGCTGACGATGATAAACACGGAGTTTAAGGGAAAGATGCGGGAGAAGTAAGCGTAGATGTGTTAGTAGGAAGCTGGTCAATAACCATGGGGGTTAAGGGGTCCGGAACGTACGCTTGTGATGGTAGTAGCTATGGGGTAGTTTCGGTTGTGGCCGTGCTAGCTAAATGCGGGCAGTCAGCGGGGTAACCAACCGGAGAAAGGCGGCCCACGAGAAGGACGAGGAACGCGCTTTGCGAAACAACTTCATTCCCGTTTAGGGGAGATAGTGTCAAGCAGGATGAGTGCGGCACGGGAGACCGCAAAAGATGCCTGACTCTTGTGGGAGGGGGGGAGGGGGGGGTGTCAATGTATCTTGCCTATGTGGCTGCACAACTGCACAAAGAAGTCACTGAACACGAGAGGAATCTAGCTATTTTGGCCGATTTGACTTCATTATCAGTGATGTCCACTGGTAACCAGTGGTATGGTTGGATGCCGTAGCAAGCCGAAACTAGTCCTTGGTGGCCTACATCACATCATCCAACAACTCTGAGCACTTCTCTGGACAGGAAGAATTTTTCTATCCGTATCTCTTTTCGCCCGGAGCACCTATGAAGTCACTTATCGTCTCAGGAACGTAAACAGAAGG